GTGATTCGCCTGCAAAGCCGGACCCATCCAAATGTTTTTCGAACACACCTGGTGGAATTTGGAAGGTGGCACCCAGGTAATCAATCAATGAAGGATTTAAATCTTCCACAAAGATCATTCTTAGATGACACCGAGCTGGAGTACGCCTCAACGTATTCCGAAAGTCCTCATATGTCGGTGCCGAACGCGAGTGTGCATCAGGCCAGAGAGCTTGGAGAGCAGAGGCACTAGGCTGCTGTGTCTCAAGTATATCATATAACATGATGTTTGAACTCCAAATGTGCCGTGTAGTTACGGCACTAGCATGGTGTAGATTCGAAAAGCGGTTGGCCGATGTGAGCAGACCCATGCGATAGATCTCTGCCTCATTGTTGTTTGTCGCCTGTTGCACCTCCTGTTGTTGCTGCTTTGGTTTTTGTCGGAGTTTCCCGCTTGACTCCAATGCTATTAAGACTGCTTTCCAGAGCTTGCTCAGCTCTGGTCGTCGCGGTGCATCGCCTCCGGGTCGCTGCCTGATTGGTTCACGCTCTGGTGAACGCGATTGCTGTAATCGATCCCTCGCGTTTCTGTCCTTCACTTTCGGAGATTCTTCTCTTTTTATCGCTTCTTCTTCGGAGACTGCATCTGCTCGAAACTTTGCTCTCCCACGTTCGCGCATCCCCCCAGAAGAAGCTGCCCGTTCTGGTCGCACTATTGATTGTTCCACGGACTTGGGTTCGCTAGTCCGACATAGATCTCGGATGGACGGCTGATCTATTGAAGAGGAACGAGATGAGGGTAGAGCGATTGCGCTTGCGCTGGTCGTCCGGCACTCTGACGGTAATCGTCTGGGGTGGCGGGTCTGTAGATCATCTAGTGATGTGCGGGGTCTTGCCTGTTGTTGAAGGATGAGAGATGGTGTGGAACTCGTCAAGATCATACCGCGGTAATCTGCACTTGGAGTTCTAGAGTGTCCAGAACTGCAATCATCAATCGATCCGTCCTTGGTCTTGTAGTCTGCTCGTGGGTGAGCGTCATTTTGGCCATTGTCCTGCTGCAAATCCTCAAATGCTGGCCCATCGTCTCGCGTGTAACCCGGTGAATCTTTGGGACTGTATACACTGTCCTCCCCACTCCTTTCATGACCACATGTTGCTTGTTGGTCGTCCTCCATCTCTGCGCCTACGACCCACGCTCGTGTTCACCGGCAAGGCAACGTTGACCCCTGCAATTTTCTTGTTTGGCGCTCGCTAATGTGTCCAGGGTTTGTGTTCTGCGTTTCCGCGCATCAATGAGAAAGATGTTGTATGCCCATTGTTGTATCGTGGTTCGTAGCTGTTAGTTTCAGGTGCGGCTGAAGAAGTACAGGTCGGCGTTCTGCATGGATGCAGGTTGAGTTTGTGGTTGTATCACTGATGTGAGGCCGGAGGTAAGCCCGGTGACAGTCGGGCTGTCCAGTATCGAGGTAAGCGCCTGGTGGCACAGTCGTGCAGTGTGCGTGCAGCTACATGCATGCGACGTATCACACATACGCCAAAACGTCTGCGGGGCGGCTTAAAAACCAGTCGAGAGCCGCACTTCCCGCAAGGAAATTTACACCACAACAATTGGAACCTGCACATCCGCATATACTGTATGAAAGAAGTAATATCAGCTTGAAAGCCAGATATTCCATACTTCAGATGCGTGTTGTGGATCAGCTCTAAGCGCGTGATTCTTGAATACCGAGGTACCTAGGTAGCGATGGCGAACCTACGCTTTGCAGTGTCTTTTCAAAGTCAGTCAATTTAAAATATAGTTCTATGTCTAAACTGACCATGTCAACAGGACTAATTCCGTTCTTCGGCTATCATCATATGTTGATGATTCTGCTGACTGTCGTGATTATACTGAATTGTAAGCTACTGATCTGAAGTTCGTGGATTAGTATCATACTTACTGTATCCATAGCAATATCTCTGGCTGGGTGCGCAAGCTATTCGACCATGACAAACATCTACGTCCTCGGTTTATCGTATACGAACTCGACTTCGAAACGCACTACTGAAGGTCATGATGTGTTGCTTGACACATTGAATGGTCTGAAAGGATCCGCCGAGCTTGAAGTCCGAGCGGGCTACTTTGGGATGTGCGTGCGCCAACGTGGTATCGTCTGGCTTTGTAGCTCCGACCATAAAGGTCTGGCGCAGCAAATTGGGTACGAAAATGACCCGCTGAACTTGATAGGAGCTGCTGCAAAGTTCAAGGACGAAGTTCTCTTCTCCGGTCTTCTATTCATTGCTGTAGTCCTCGCATTTGTCACTATATTGCTTCTCGCAACATTTCCGGGGTGGCACGAAGAGCGAGATGAACGAACAGGGTCTGACATAGATGTAAGACCCTTTCCGTCGCGTCCCGTCTCACAAGTTGCGCTCGCAGCGAGTTTTGTTGCTGCAGCGCAGCTACTTATCGCGAGTTTGTGGCAGCATGTGGGATCTGTCGGTGCAGCTGCAATGGCAGAGTCAGCCAACTACGGGAATATCCGAACGGATATCGGAGTCAGCGCAATCACTATGGTCTGGGTTGCCTTTACGTTACAGATTACTGTTGCTATAGGTCTACTCGTTATGGTTCTTTCCATTGTCATATTAGATAGATTGACCGATAACGATTCGGATTAATGTTGCGCGTCAGGACCGTAGGAGAACAGGAGTAATGGTGACGAGAGTTCACGGTAGATGACCCCGGGCCTCCTCAGATTCATGTGAAGCGAGATGACGTATGGGGAAAATAGATCCAATTGGAAGCAGGCCCGTGCTCAGTGCGCGCTCTCCGAGGCTACCTAGGTATTTCGAGGCCTGATCTTGACCGGATGCACCCACATTCTAGCTTCTTCACTGGGAATCAGGATATATCATTACTAGCAACGAACGTATACAGAGATTACCTCAAGAACCTCGTAGATGCACGTGAATCATTTCGATGACGTACATGGGTAGCTTCCTGGGCTTCTCGGTGGCCAAACTGGTTCCGCACCCCAACGAACAATACCATCGGCGACAACACCGACAATCTCGTCCCACAGCGGATGGACCGCGGATCATCTCCGTGGTAGGGAATATGCAGCGCGAAGATGTGGGCTTCTACCCCGCACATCTGGGGTAAAGCCGCAACTGGTATATCCGGATGCGTTGTTCCGCTATAGGATAACGAAGTAAGATGGATATTCTGAACTATATAACCATTGAACAAAGCTATACGGAAGGTGCAAGAACCTTCGCTCACAATAGACTACCTAGAGTTGCTCAGCTATCGTATACGAGAATATCACCATGGACAAGCCTATAGAACCCGAGAAGCAGGAACACCTCGAAGATGTCGACATCGACACGGTCAAAAATCATGATGAGACGCTACAAGAGCACGGGGAGATAGACGTCTATGACGAAAAGTACAACAAGAAACTCAACCGGCAACTAGACCTACGCGTTCTACCTCTGTGTTGCTGGGTATATCTCTTGAATTTTCTTGATAGGGGTATGGACCTCATCATCTCGTACCGTCTCAGCACCCGCGTCAATCGCTAAAATTGATAATAGGAAACATTGGCAATGCTCGCGTGCTCAACACAGAGACAGGCGACGACATGCTCAGTAATACGGGCCTGACGCCTCACGGCTACGCTCTGACCGTCACTCTCTTCTCCGTCGCGTATGCCGTGTTCGAAGTACCAAGCAACTTCGTCATGAAGCACTACATCCGACCTTCTAGATGGCTCGGCATCCTTCTTTTCGCTTGGGGAGCCTTAACCATTGGGTTTGCGGGTGTACAGAACAGTGCTACGATCATCGCTTTGAGGTTCTTGATCGGAGTTTTCGAAGCCGGTTTCTTTCCCGGTGTGTTACAATGAGACGTGAAGGTTGATGAATTTTCGCTGATTACGTATCGTAGGAATTGTCTACTTCATCACGATCTGGTACCGCTATAACGAGCGGGCTGTTCGCATCGCTCTCGTCATCGCGTTCTGCAACCTTGCTGGTGCCTTCGGAGGCGCCATCGCATTCGGAGTCGGCCACATCAACGGAGCGGCAGGTCTTGAAGGATTCCGCTGGCTCTTCATCATAGAAGGCATCATCACACTACTATCGGCGTTCCTTCTGTGGTTCTTCCTGCCCGACTACCCAGCTCGAGCGAAGTGGCTCAGCAACGCCGAAAAGAAATTCGCCGTTGATCGTCTAGCTGACCGAGGCGGTGGATACAATCAAGAACATGCTAACAGGAAAGAGATTTTGGACACCTGCTTTAGTCCACGCATGCTGTTACACTACATTGCGTATGTAGCCGACGTCGTTCCTCAGGGCTCATTCACCTTTTTCACGCCCACTATCGTTACCGGACTAGGCTACGAGTCTATTCATGCTCAACTTCTGACTGTCCCACCGTGGGTTGTGGGTTTCTTCGTAGCCATTACAATCTCTTACTCTGCGGACCACTTCAACGCTCGCGGGTGGCACATTACCATTGCATCACTCATTGGAGGCACCGGCTGGCTAACCGCCGGTCTTCTTCCCGCCGACGCCTATGTTCAGCGCTACGGTTGTCTATGTATGGCCGCTGCGGGTGCCTTCCCTGCTGCGCCTTCTATGACGAATTGGGTAACCTGCAACTCGCCGAGCTTCCTCACCTTGCCACTCGCAATCGCACTGCACAACAGCTGTGCAGGCATTGGTCAAATCATTGCGCAATGGATCTGGATGAACGACGAGCGAAGCCAAGGCTTCCCGACAGGCAACTTCGTGTGTGCGGCATGTAGTTTCCTGGTAGCGGCAATTGCTACGACACTCAGGCTGTGGTATGGGAGGATGAACAAGCTTGAGAGGTCAGACAGTAGGGGTGATCAGAGGGTTTGGGCATTGTAGCGATATTAATTGGCTGGCATAACCCCCTGATACGAAGGTCGCACTATGATATGAAGAACAGATGGCAGTCTATGTCTCTTTTACTGCTTCACCAACCATCTCTTCAAGGCTTTTGTCATGACTTCATGCGTTCGGCTCGTCAGGTGCCCTGAATTGTACCAAAAGTATGTATTCAAGTCCGTGCATCCGTACTGGCTTGGCTTTGTTAGGATATCTGGCTGATTATATCCAGGGCAGTAGTCGGTGACATTTTTGAACCCATAGTCTTGGTAATGATCCAAAACGTAATTCAATACACTATTGACGTCAAACTGAAGCACCTTCACGTCTTTGTGTTTGGACTGAAAGGCGTTGGCATGTGCAGCGTGGATCTTGTTGAAAGAAGAGACCAGCGAGGCGTTGACATTGGGCGTGCCTGGTCCACGATCCAGAGGCGGTAAGTTCATGAAGAGGAAGTCCTTGTAGCCAAGCTCATAGATCTTCTCCACGTTCTCAAAAACTCGGTCCTGAATCTTCTCGTAGGGTGGTGCAAAGGAGGTGTTCTTGCCTTGGGTGGATACGAGGTCATTGATATCGTTGATGCCGATCCATATCGCTACGAGCGCTTTCTTCTTGTTGAGGTGAATTGATTCGAGAGCTGGATTGCCGTAGGAGGCAAACTGTTCGATCTGACGTTCGAGTGAGACAGTATGGTTGTGATGAAGGGGTGTGAATCCAGCTTCCTCGATAGTGTTCGCGCCAGCGTATGCAAAGTCCCAGAGCTGCATATTGCACTCTCTTGGATTGTGCAAACCATCATCGACACCACATCCAGTCAAAAGCTCTACCCAATTAGGGCCGCCTTCTGCCGTTCCCGTAAGGTTCTGCACGATGCGATTCGAGAAGAGCTGTGCGGGCGTAAAAGAGAAGTTGAATTCATCGCCAATGAAGGTGTAGTTTTGATGGCCGAGGGTACCCTGCACGTATGTATAGCTATCCCCAAAGGCTATCAGAGATTCTGTGGAATGCCATTTAAAAGAACTTTGTTTCTGCTTCGGATGCGCGGGGGCAGCAATTGCATGCGCAAAGAGTGTCAAGAAGACGCTTGAACTCGCGGTGAGCTTCATATCGGCAAAGCGGAAAACGTTTTCGAAGGCTTGATGGTCGTCATAGTGATCTCTAACAAGCTTGGCTACTATTTATATCGGTGTGATCGGTATAGATGGATCTTCGGCAGCGTGGGTTTAACGGAACAATTACCCCCGACTGGTGGCGCTGCGGGAAATCTGGAGCTGGACTTTTCCGGGGTAGATGGACGATGATGCGGGGTATCCCAGTTACCCCGAGCCTCGTTCAGGCGTAGCATCAAGTAAGGACCACAAAGCTGCTTCCGAGTTTGCAGGCTCGTCCTTGGAGAAAATACAGTCGTGGTAATGTCGTACGCCTTTGTACTCGTACCACCATCGACCTGGATAAGGTCGCGTTGGATCTGCTTTTACAAAGCCCATGTCTTGCAAAGTCCATATTGGGTCAACTTTATTTTCTTTTTGTCCACAAGCAAGTAGACCAGTGACGAAAGGCTGCAACGATACAACATGAGCCAACGGGACACCCATTCTCAACGGTAAGTCCTGCCACCACCAATTCGAGGCGTCCATGCAGAAAAATGGACCAAGGATTCTGATGGCATCAAGGTAGACGTCTTCCCTGGTGTTCGAATAATCCACGATAGGCCGTAGCGTTTCAGAGATGAGACCGAGCATACCGTATAGCTTGTCTCGAGGGTCTTCGCAGCCCATGCTAGAAAATTGACGTAGTAGATTGCACAGTAGATGCGAATACCCATGTCGAACAGGCTCCGCGTGTGCATAACGATTAGAAAGTAAATACGTCATTGGCGACAGAGTTGGATGTTTCAGAAATCCAGCAAACAATGCGGCCTTGAAGAGGACATCCCAGTCGATCCAGACGTGACCGCACATGATATGTGCCTTTTTGGGTAACATTACTTCCTGCACGATCCATAGACGCGTGAAGTAACGGTTTCTCAAGATAGCCTCAGTGTTCTCGGCATTCCTGTTTTTGGAATACCTCCGCGCTGCTCTTAACGAAGACAGGTCTAACCAAACGATGACATAGATGCATTCGGAGTAAATCCGAGCCATTAGGCGAACTTGATGATTGCGTTCTGCCGTGTCCTGTTGGTTGATACATATCTGAGTGATGAGATTAGTCCATGCATGCATAGCCAAGTAGATGTAGGACCTACCTGATCGATCCAGAGGTACTGGGTATTGGCTTCGTCTGAGCGAAAGGCGGAAAGGAAATCGAACAAGTTTATTCTAACAGCGAGCAGCTTGTTATCGATAACGATATACCTATTATCTGATGGTCCACCCCAAGTGTATGACAGAGCGATGAACTCGGGTGCAGTGTTGATGTCGAACATCTCAAGTTCGCAGTAAATGAAGTCGCGTTTGTATAGCGTATCGGCCACAGGTTGAGATCGCAACAATCTTGCGTGACGGATCTGCTGCTTTGATCCGTCCAGTTCTCTATACCTGTAGAAGTCCGATGTCTGCGGCATTCTCGCTGCGTTACTGACTGAGTTGTCGGGCTTGTCCACCTCATCAATCAAAGACTGAATGGTATGCTCCGGTACCAAGATAAGCCTAGAGTTGAGCTCAAATTGGATCTAGCGCCTCGTAGAAAATAAGGTAACGAAGCGCAAAGCGATTGAGTGAAGTCGTGTATGAAGGCAAAAGCGAAGGAAGGAAGGACTGAGCCGGTTAGCACAGCCCCACCTCAGCTGCAGACTAGTATCTAGGGCTCTTTTCTCTACTCAACCGACTTACGGGAGAAACGTATATGAGCGCATTGTCCAACGATTGCCTTAGCAATAGAGCTTGTTATCTAAAATGGTATCAATGCTACAAGATACAATGGTGGTACAAAAGAAGCGGCACAGCCTTACTCTTCGAAAAAGTCACCCCAGCTAAACCCACCACCATCACCACCGTCTCCAGCATCGCCACCACCCTGTCCACCCTGTCCACCCTGCCCACCCCAGAAGTCCTGATCTTGACCCCGAGATCCGACGCCAGGATCTTCGCCCCAGACATCTTCACCGACTTGGCCTGTGCCTGGCTGTTGATCGGGGTTGGGCTGATACGGATCGGTCGCTTGTGGGGAAGCATCGTCATCTTGTTGCCTGGCTTCTCGCCCTCTTTGCATAGCTTCGTAGCCCGCCATTGTAGCTGCACCTGTCGCAGCACCCTCTCCAGCTCCCAGTCCGCGCGCTGCAGTGCCCACCTCACCTGCAATACCGCTTTCGCCAGCAGCACCTACGGCCCCAGCACCGGCAGCACCCGCTTCACCAGCTGCAGCACCTCCCGCGGCTTCACCACTGCCACCTACCCATGGCATCCACATTGGCCACATGCCACCAGAACCACTATGTCGACTGAAATAGTCAAAGTCGATGCTAACAGCCGTAGCAAGCATTACGGCGCGTTGATCAAGGGTCATGCCAGGGTAGTCTTCTAGTGATGGTCGGCTCTGCTCACCAGTTTTGGAAACCATGCCTGACGGCTCACTTGCCAGCCCGGCAGCGTCCATTCTCAACGCATAAACACCCGTATCAGTGAATATTTCGCGCGCGAAGCCTCCGAAGTTGCGGTTAACAGAGCCCGCTAGCCGCCCGTCTTCAGACATCAAGCTGAAGTCCCAGGACAAAAAGGGTTCGTCAACCCTGGCAAACTGGAGCATGCCCACTTCTCGGGTATCGCCTTCTGCTACTGCCACGGCTTTAGAGTCTGAGATTGGCAGGTCACCAGAGGACAGTTGGGGCGCGTCTGGTCCTGCGGCGGCGTCCTCGAGATTCCTTGCGAGATACAGGTTGTACTTCCTTCGTAATGGTGCCCACTCCTGTTCCGAAGCTCCGATAATCCTCATGTCTTGGAGTGCCAAAGTTGAGACATTTGCGCTCGTTTGGTTGGCTATGCTTTTGACACTCGTGCCTTGCAGACTTGCCGAGCTGGTATAGGTGCTCTCATCGGGCCCTACCGCATCATACACGCGTATTCTCGAGTTGATCCAGCTGAAAGGTCTATGAAACCTTAGTATTTCCTTTTCGTCCCGGTCAAAGACGTGAGTCGTGAAGCTGCGGTGCGTCTTGAACATCTGTCTCGCCATGGCGTTCCCTATGCCATGGTCTTGCTCGGCGAGATATCCAATATGATTACCGTGCGGGTCCATGATAACGTAGCGGTTCGCTTGCTCGAAGCCCATGAGCACGTTCATCATTTCCAGCTGCCGTTGTACTATAAGAGACGAGTTGTCCAGAAGACGCATGGCGGGGTGTGTCTGCTTTAGGACGGCGTTCGGGTCTTCGGGCATGTACACGGGCGTTACGAGGTTGTTCTCGGAGTCGGGCGTGGTCGAGAGGGCGTTGGACACGGCGTCCACTTTCGATGTCTCTTTGGGGGCCCCATCATGCGTGTTTGATGAGGAATCGTTGCTAGGTGGTCTCGTAGAATATGCTGAGGTCGTTGGCGGCATCGTGTTGCGCGGTAGGCGACTTCGAAGGGCTAGCCGTGGTATGCTTTTCGTGGTGATCGATCGAGCGCTCTGGCGTGGCAGTCGTAAAGACCATCTTGCCGCTGGCAGCATCTTGAAAGCTGTTCCGTATATATCTAGAGCTGCGGTATGTTTGGAGTAAGTCTCTGATCAGGCAGGTACTATTCGTGTAAGAGGTGCAGATGCCTAATCGCTTTCGCGTGGCGTCACGAAGACGTTCTTTACTTTCTCGGAGGTAGCTGCTCTTATTACGTCACAGCAGGCGTTCCTAAGGCACGCACAAGCCCCAACCGCAGTCTGCAGGTATCGTGAAGCATGTACTGTGTGCGACTGTCAATGACCGCTATGCGCATTCAAAAGCCAGTGGTACGGTGGCTGTCGTGTGTTAGGAACTGGACTGCTGTGCGGTCGGCCAAGACGGCCAATCAGATTCGGCCTTGGCAAACAGTCATCTCCAAACTTTTTGCGCTCTCCTCTCACCTTCAGCACCACTCCACCATGAAGCTCGCAACGCTCGTCGACGACGCCATTACCTGAAGTCGCAAAGGCCGGGTAAGTTCCAACGATTCCCTTTCACATGTTTCACTGTCTTATGATGACAACTTTTCACTTATACGATTGCCGGCGCATGCATTCACTTGACTGCGTTTGGCTCTCGATGCTGTTTCCGTTACAATAGACTACAACGGTATCTGATCGACATTACTTGCTACACTTCACGTTGCCTCAAAACCCGCGCAGGACTAACGCGAGTACAGTTTCGTCGAACATCGAGCTGGACTGAGGCATGTCTTCGACTCAGCAGCTTGAGCATGCTGTTGCTGCAAGCGAGGAGCGCCCAGAGGGTCTACCTCAGCCGAACCAAGAACCAGCCAACGGTGTTTCGAGGAAACCTCGCCCAAAACGACCCAACTACAACGAAATACATGCGAAGCCTCTGCCACTAGACGTATATGCGCTGCCTGCCTTCATCCCGCACAACCCCATTTCCATCGTGCGACTATTCATCAGCCTAATTTCGCAGTCGCTGTGGTCGCCCAAGTCACACATCGTCATCCACAGAGCATACTACTCTGCAGAGACCCAGTCAATCCACATCACCGATCCGGCCTCCATCCGAGCTCTTTGGGAACAAGGCTTCTGGGGCAAAGGGTCCCTCAGCCGAAGTGAACCACAATGGTTAGTCGCTGAAAAGCGAAGGCGAGGTGCCCAGGCGTCCAAGACAAGCACCGAGGTTACACAATCAAGGCGGGAAGAGCGCAGACAATTCAAGTTAGAGAGAGCCAAGGCGCAGCGCGAGGCTATTGAGCAACAGCTACGGCAAGAAGGCAAGATCGTATCCGACGCCAACATCAACAAGCTCGTAGGTAGCGACGCCAAGAACATCACCAAGCCAGAAGATGCAACAGCAACTCCGGCGATCAATGAAAACACAGATGGCCCTGCCGCACCGGCCGACGCTGAAGCTGATCTAGAGGTTGACATTGTGGATCTTGAGCATCTTCAGCTCACACCCGAGGAGGCTTTCTTCCTGACATACGTCCTTGGTGCTTTGCAAGTCGTCAACGTGGACACCCAGGCTCCCATGGATCTTGCACAACACTACCCAGCATGGTACCTCTTGCGTGTATACTGCGCCCATGCGTCCAGTTCTGGCGAATCCGATGATCTCGAAAGAGCTTTGACGCATCTTCGTACTGCGTACCGTATGAGCAATGACGCTACTCGAGTGGATCCTGCTATGACGTGTATTCCGCCTATTGAACCTGACAACCCTTTCCTGATGAAATACGTTGTCTTTCACCACTTCCGATCCCTGGGCTGGGTCGTGCGGCCTGGTGTCAAGTTCGCTGTCGACTACTTGCTCTACATTCGCGGTCCTGCGTTCACACATGCCGAGTTTGCGATCATGATCATTCCTTCCTACTCAGCCCCATACTGGACCGAGCAAACGGACGGTCAAGCCCAAGTCAGAGCCGCGGAAAAGGAGCGCAGGGACTGGTGGTGGTTCCATCGCGTGAACCGAGTGCAAACCCAGGTCATGAAGACACTGATGCTGGTCTACGTTGAAGTACCAGCACCGTGGGATGCGGATTATATGAGCTTGGATGGGTTCAAGCTTGACATTGGTAGCATTTTAAAGAAGTACACAGTTCGAGAGTTCGTCTTCAAGAGGTGGAGTCCAAGCAGAAACAGAGATTGAGCTACGGAATACTCGAGTCGATACCGGTAGAGACGAAGCTGTACGAGTTATGAAAGCCGATGAATACATATACCACATACCAACCTTGACCTACTCCCGCTTACGTCACACACGATGCTTACACCAAGGACTCAATATTGACATCTCAGTGATCCACATTGAGGAGTAAGTATATGCGAATCGAGCATTGACTCAGAGCAAGACTGGGCAGCCGGGCAGGGAAATAGGCGATTGGCCCCTTGATTACACGAATATTTCACTCTCGACGCTCGAGCTCGAGCTTCTTAGAGCACGCCATCAAGTACCCCTCTAATGTATATTTATTCAAGACCTTGCCCTGATTTCGATTCGATCGTCCCCTGCATAAACACCCATAACCACACATGGGAGCTCGACCGTACACACAGCCTTTCGAAGCTCGGGTCGACTTACAGCTCAGTCCCCAATCACAACCACATCGTCGATCACCCTGCCGACCTCCCGTCGCGTCGCTGACTTCATGATTCCACAAGATGCAGCCCCTCCCGCACAAGGGCCGAACGAGACCAGTTATTTCTTTAGCCTACTCAATCGCGACGTCCGAAACCTAATCTACGATCATATGACGCTTGGTCAAATTCGTAACAAAGACGCGACCCAATGGATTGGCTTCAGAGGTACCTGTCGGCAGGCAAAACAAGAAGCTGAAGAGGAGGGCGTGCGCCATCTATGGATGTATGTCCAGAACATTTGCAGTAAATTCACCAAGACCACAGGGTTTGATCTGAGGCTACCGCGTCAACTGAAAAAGATGGAAGACTTTATTGGACTGACAGAAATGACGCTGATCACCAACGCACCTGTTCACGTACTCGACCTTCGCCAGGATTGCTGTCCTCGCACTGGTCTCGAGGACTTGCTCTGTATTGAGATCGAGGGTATTGCTCTTCATTACACTGGTGAACAAACACCGGATAGCCCGAAAGATCTGACAGAAGCTGCCGTACTAATGCTATTATGTCTGGTGGAAAAGAGTTGGGAAAATCCCCACAGGATGGGTATCACACCATGTTCGTTTCATAACAACGACATTACTATCTCGTGGGATTATCGCAGCCGTACTCGCGAGGATGAATACGAGAGCGTCCCAACCTACCAACTCAAGAAAGAACTTTGCAATCGAGGTGTCACATCAAAAGATATGCCACACCGCAAGCCCGCTGTGATAGATGTTCTTCTCTCACAAGATGCCAACAAGCTGCGTGCCATTAACGCCACAACTTCAGAGCCAGCTACAGGCTCTCCGCAAGTACTGGCTGGAAAACGGTTCTATGTTGTAGAGGTAGATGGCTCACTCGATACCATGGCGTTCGAAAGCGATATACCGCCTTTCCATGCGGATACCAACCTTTTCGATCCCCATAAATCAAGATTCTATGCAGACACATCGCTATTTTACGCTACCAACCGACGGAACTCCGTTGGCATGGTGCGTCTGGGTGAGATTCATTATTACTTTGGTGGAGGCATGTGCGAGTCCTTGATACAAGACGTGTGGGACGAAACGAGGAAAGAGGATCAAGACAGGGTCTCTGTACCAGTTGAGGTCTGCTGGAATGGTATCAAATATGACTAAGAGAATGAAGAAGCAGGAACTAAAGGCGACGCCAGGCTCTAGTACTCATAGTGTTTCGTATAGTAAGCGAGTCTTTTACCCCCAAAGCAATTTTGCAACCGAACAGGATATATTGGTGCAGCGCGCTACATACTGTAGCACCCAAGACTATCTCATCGCCCCGTTCGCTCCTGGCGTAGTAAACTCCGGCGCAGCCTTCTTGACTCCAAACCTCTTGCCTAGAATCACAAATTGACCCACCAGAATCATTTGACTCCATTTTGGCCTATCACCATCGTAAATCGCATCATGCAACAGATCCTTGCACTTGTCCCACTCCAGAAATCCAAGTGCCTCCACATTCTCGTTCGTGATCAGTCTCTGAAATAACTGATGAACAGGACCATCGGGTTTATATTTTACTGGAGCAGAGAAAGGGTGTTTCTTGCGAGCGTAGAGTTCAGGCGTGATGAATGGTTTCATGGCTTCCTTGAGAATCCACTTCTCGCTGAAACTACGAGTTTGAGGGTCGTAGTGCAGCTTTACAGAGGGCGGAAGCTTCATCGCATATTCCGTTAAGCGATGGTCAAGAAAGGGCTGGCGGCCTTCGACACTGTGGGCCATCTCGCAGCGGTCGCCTAGTACGGTAAGAAGGCCGTTTGCGAGGGATGACTTTATCCAGATGTAAAGTGATGTGTGAAGCGGATGCCACTTGTTGGCCATAAGCTCGCGGGTACGGCCATCGACAGCGTTCACGGCCGTGAGGCGTTTGTCGCTCTGTCCAAACTCGTTGAAAACCCAAGGCGCAAAGAGCAGGTCACGGAGAGAAGCGGTCTGCGTAAAACCAAGGAAAGAAGTGTTGTTTACTTGGGCACGAATAGCAGCCGATGTCGCAAGCTCCTTTGGACCTGATGTCTCTGAGCCCTCTAAGCTCTTGAATGTTGCCACGCGCTCTTCTTCCGGAAGTCCGGAATTTGGTTTTGATAGATCTGGTTCGCGAACGAAATCCGTAAGGAGCTCCCGATATCCCGCAAAGTGTTCGTCTGATCCTTCTCCAGTGAGGACGACCTTGATACCTTCATCGCTGGTAAGTTTCGAAAGCAAGAACTTGCCAACAGTGCCTAGATCAGTTACTGCTGCTTCGTTGTGCCAGACTGCGTTCTCGATGTTGGCGGCAAAGTTCTCCTCGGTCATCTCGCAGTGATGCATCTTGACTCCTAGCCATTCAGCTGTGCGACGTGCGATCGGCTCTTCATCGTGTTCTTCACCGATAAACTTGACGCTAAAGCAATTGATCCGCTCTGATGCTGGAGCTGTGCCAAGCTGTGCGCCTTCAGTGTCCATCAGATGCTTGACCATGCCTGCTATTGCGCTTGAGTCGATGCCGCCGCTCAGGAATACTCCGATCGGTACATCCGCACGAAGTCGATCTCGCACAGCATCAACAAGGTGCTTTCGAACACCCTGGATCATCTCATCTTCACTTCTCGTTTCGAGTTCACGCTAAGCTTGTCAGCGATGTTCATGATGCACACGCCATAGCATATACCTTGTCTTTGAAGTCGACATCCCAATACTTGTCTTGAGAGATAGTGCTGAACGATCTGCAGACGAGGTAGTGACCAGGCAGTATCTTGGAAACTCCTTGGAAGATGGTTCTTCCGTCGCACAGCCAGCCCACGTCTTTGATGCTTTGCACGTCCCACTCAGGTTTCCATCCAAAGGGAAGGAATGCTTTCATTTCGGAAGCGATCTACCCAGCGGTTGTCAGTCCAAAGTTTCTCGGAAAAGCGAAGAGCGGTCATACCAGCAATTTGCCGTCTAAAATTGTGTAGTACATGGGCTTGATGGCATACCGATCGCATGCGGCAATGAAGACCTGAGCTTTGGAGTCATATAGACACAATGAGAACTCTCCGCGCAAGTGCGGCAGGAACGATAGACCATGCTTCTTGTACAGCGCCAGTGCAATCTCAGAGTCTGACTGGCTCTTGAACTTGTAGCCTTCGGCACTAAGGCGGTCTCGAATCTCTTCATAGCCGTACAGCTCGCCGTTGACTACAGCGTGAATGTCGTTGTCTGCATCGTGGAATGGCTGTTCTCCTTCTGGGTTCAAGTCGACGATCGCTAATCTGTTGTGCCCAAGAGCTAGATGATCAGGATGTTAGTCACGTGTTCTCCTCGTACCCGTAGTCACTTCTTGACCTACCCACGCGACAATCTTCGCTGATCCAATGACCATCTGCATCAGGTCCACGATGCTTGATGGTATCCAGACTCTTTTGCAATGTTTTGCTCAACTCTCCACGTTCCTTCGCTAACGGTCCATGACCCCGCAATGCGACGGCACAAGTGATGCCACACATGGTTGCGCGATCCAAGAGATCCAAAAGGAGAGAGCGTGCAGCGCTTCCCCATATCTTTTGATCCGAAGACCGGCGATACTTCCAAACATGACGTAGGCACGAAAGTCGTAGCAGTGATCGTTCAATGAGGTTTGATCGTTCCTGATAAGCACGCGTCGCTTGTTACTGGTTTGGGTGTTAGTGGATGCCCCTGGATCGCCCAGATCGCGCGGCTCCCAGCGGGATCTTCGGACTTTCAACAGCACGACCCCAGGTCTTCCACACATCTTCAGCTGTGTTATCGTGATTGTTCCGCGATTGTTCCTAAAGCCAGCGTTCGTCATCCTCGACCGGCAAGCCCCGGACGTAGCGGCGGTAGTCCCATCCACGCCACGCACACTTGAGACATTGCTTTTTGTGCTCGACACTGGGGCCCGCCATGCGATCTTCCGGCTCCGATGGGCGAAATCGACAGAAAGATTCCCTTGACTCCGATCCAAGGAGGTCGTCTTCGCTGGCGACGTGGTATCTCCGCAACCCGGGACAAGCTGCCGTTGTACGCTTCCTGCAGTGACCATCGACCGCGACCAAATCTTCGCTTCGCAAACCCTTCTCAGTCAGGTCCCATGAAACCACCAGTCTCTTAATCCAGGCTGGTTGCGGCTGCCAGTACCTCACCAGGGAGCGGTACTTGTTGAGCTTGAGATTGCCTTTCTGGCCGACAGGATCATGCGCAAATGTCAAGCCGCTCTCCAGAACGAAGAAAAGGCGTCTGAAATACTCGGTGATTGATCCACATAACCCGTGTCCTTCGCTTCTCCTTCCTACCGGACCCGAGAATTGTATCGTCAGGCTATCGAGCCACAAGCTGAAGATGGCGTTCAAGGGTCGGAGACTTTCAAAGAACTCTCGGCGCTGGTCAGCGCAGCCATGAATTGCACGTCCAGGGATCACTAATGTCAAATGCCGAAGCGTGTGGAACTTGGCATGCATTCCAGTAGGCGTTCTCGTTGCAACAGGTAGCAAGATGCGCACCCCTAGATCGCTTTTTGGAAGGACAATTCTCTTGTAAGCCAGCAACCAGGTTTTTGTCGCACGGATCGAGACTCCTTCGCACTCGCGCTTTGCTTGTCGACACGACAAGATCAGTCCACGACATTGTTCATTGTCAACAGGCGGAAAGTCCAGAAGCTCGTACATTGAGATGCGTATTTCAGCAGGTAGTCTGAAGAGAGATGAGGACGACTGACTATTTTCGTTTCGTGCCATATTCATTCGCTCCGCATCCAGAAATGAGTTGTGAATTGATAGGGTGCTCCAATTTATGGAGTTGCAGCGCTCATATACACCGACTTTGGAAGCTGTTGCCTAAACCCCGCACATCTGGTTGGCTGACGCATGATCTTCATACTGTCCAGGTGCGACCTATCTTCTCTTGCAGAAAGAGGAACATCAGTGCCCAGCAAGTCTTTGGATCGTTTCAATCTCACCTGCGGTAACCACCTCGATGGGGTAGAGGTGACGCTGCTACTAGGTCGCCGGTGAGTTGATGAAGATTGCTCGGTATGGTGCAGTAGTGAGATGGGCAGTTTGTAATCCATCCCTATAGCTCATGTGTACTCAGACATACTGAAATGGCCTAGGAGTTTCGTCGATTGCTGATGCGGCTTCCTGAGATTGATACTTTCCCAATTCAAAGCCATCTGTCGTAGACCGCTTTCAGGGCTGCTGATGAAACTCCAGTCTGCGCTTACTTCAAATCTAAGTGCAGCAGCAGTAGATGCCTTCACTGCTGACTGACTTCGGCTGAAGCAAATCTTGCCATCTCGTAAGGAAAGGGCCATTTCCGCGTTACTATCGGCACTTTAAAGCCCTTTGACTGGACCTTGGAAGCATACGACATGTTAGTAACGATGCGCGAGATTTGCGGCCACATTGGAACCTCTGGCAGCAAGTTCCTTTCCATCAATGACCAGGCATGAAGAGTTTCTCTTTGTCATTTCATATCGCTCGTCTTCTCTATGGACGTGAGGGGATGGGTGACCGGTGAAATGACGTGGCAAGCTGTTGTGTAACCCAAATAGGCCGATGAAAAGGACGTGCAGCAGGTCTTTATCGAGCGCTCATCAAGCTACAACCCCGCCATTACTCTCTACACCAACTACAGCACACTCTGAACAACAAGCCAGTAAGTTCAGCTTCTCAGCATGTCCGCCGATCGTCGCTAAGTTCATTACAGATCCAACAACAGCCACTACAACATTCACAATGAAGGTCTCCATCATCCCCATCTCGGCGGCAGCAGCCTTCCTCATGTTCATACCCAAAGCCTCAGCAGGCCCCATTGGATATGGAATCTGTCAGACCGGCTGTTCTGCAGTTGTTATGGCGTGTTACGCTGCAGGAGGCGCGACTTGGGGTGCCACACTGGGTGCGACGGCTCCTGCCACTATCGTGGCTTGCAACAGTGCTTTCGGAACCTGTCAAGCTGCATGTGCGGCGGTCCTTTTAGCCCCGACACCCTAGAAGGTAAAGTCACATACTCCCGTTTCCAACCCAGCTAATGCTTTATAGGCGAGCACTCCAGCTCAAGCTAGTCGACGATCATTCGCAAATAGGGTCAAGGTCTGGTCGGATTAGGTCTGGAATTGTTTCGAATGAGTAAACAACTATGAGAAAGAGATGAGTGATATCACGAACAGTGGGACTGTTAAGGAATAAGAGATGATCACGAAGTGGTAGCAATGAACGTAGTAGTATGGCAGATGACAGTCTCAACCGACGAGCCCAGCTACAACCACACAAACTCTTTGCACAGCTTTGATTCCTAATCTGTGTGCCATCGTGTAGTCTTTTCTGTGAATCAAAACATCGCTTCCTTCATGATCGACAAACTATCATCAGCTCAACTGACCCTGGCTCTGATCAAGATCGGTGACAGTATGCTCATCAAGACATCGTACACAGCAAGTGCCACAACGGATGCAAGATACAAATGACCCGCCAGTATCGCCAGAATAAGGAGTACAAAAGGTAGCATCTCAAACATATCTGTGGAATTCTCCCATTCGCAGGCTATGAGTGAACCATCCACACCGTAGTACTTTCCTGTTGTTGACAAGTACTCTGTCGCAGCTCTTTGAGGACGAAATAATGGAAGAAACCAAGTGTCTGACCACGAAGCGAGCTTCTCCCCAGACTTTTGGAATCTGACGTAAAATGGTTTTGGAAGGCTCACATAAGGGCCCTTAAATGGTTGAGCGATGACCCGACAAATTGAGGTAAATGCCGGGTCATCGATGCCGCGCTGTCCACAGGGCTCGTATCCGATGTCGACTCTCGAGGATGAGGGCAGAAACGCCCACCATGATAGATTTAGGGAGTCAAAGTTCCGAAGTGGTTGCGCGACCTTGTTTCGTATGATAATATTGATGTGTCGCATGTCCAGAGCATCGACTGATAAGGTGTAATTCGAATTTTTACGCCGAATGAGACGACACGAGCATCTCAAGGCTTCATAATCGATCTCCAGTTTGATCATTCGACAGGTTCGGCGGAGGCCGACGAAAGGGTGTTTGCCTACAAGTCGAAAAGGCTTTTCACCATCGCTCGTAGGCAAGAAATACGAGTAGATCAAGACGCGCAATTCTTTGGGTAGCGCTAAGAACGGGAAGTGAGCCATTGAAACAAGAGCTATCGTATGTTCTGACGTCGAGACGTGGTAGCATTCTGTGATGCGTTTTGAGAGGCGGCGGGGCTGTACACACTGCGCAGGCAGCAATGCCAGGGTTAATAAGCGCATAGAAAAGCAGGCAAACACCCGTATATCCTTTGCCTTACGCACATTGGATGCACCTATGAGCAAGCAGTTTGAGCCCCTGACGCATTGCTGCATACGCTCATGATTACGACCGAAATTCGGGCTGAAAGTCGACCCTCGAGAAAGTAACGTGAAACACCAGAAATGTAACATTGTATACGATAACACCCCTACAGCGGGAACAACTCCCATCCACCAACAACGAAGGCCGCAGCGAGCGCTGGCTGAATTGGCACAGCTGTTGCGAACGCCGCGTTCGACGTGGTAGACGATTCGGTAGTAGTTGGAGTCGCAGTAGCCACGCTTTGCGCAGAAGACAAGCTCGCCACCGCACTGGACATGCTTGTTACCATAGGCCCATCAGGCTTGATGGCACATGGGTTCCCATCTCCCCACTGCAGCTGATCCAGCGAACAAAAGTCCAACTCATTTGCGTCAATCATAGCGAAAGTGCCCAGTTGCGCACAACTGCCTGTGACATTCCCGAAGGTAGTTGGGTCGGGCGCCTTCCACTCGTTACGCCACGCTGGAAGAAGCGTAAAGAGAAGTCTTGTGTCATGCGAAACACCAATGTCAGGCCGAGGGTGGTCGCATCCTTTATTCACGTCATCCCACAGGATGTACCACCTCAATGAGTATGCATTTCCTCCATAGTTTGGTCCATGGACCCAATCCCTAGGATTCGTGTGGTTGACAAGGATATATGGCGATCCATCAGACGTTGTAAACGTGGATGCATTATCCGAGGTAAAACCTATCGACCATTGATCCTCTATGACACCTCCTGGTATTGGGTCGTCGAGTTTGTGGTACGGCATGATATCCCATGCGAAAGTGAAGGGGCCAAGCTCAGCGGCCGCGGTCAAATTCTGGAATGCGAACACGATGGGTAACGATGAGGTAAAGTCGTACGTTTCATTTTCGCGAGGAAAGATGACGTCGATTTCGAGAGCTGGAAGGTTTAATGTTGGTGCTGAGGTTTGTGATGATGATGCGGGCGTGGAGGACGCGACAGCCGTTGCCGCGGTCTGGGCAAAGGCTGATCGGCAGGCAGCCAAGGCTGCAACTAAACACCAAGAACAACGGGCCATCTTCAGGCAAGATTCTGGAAGCTGTTTAGGAGGATGCAAACGACAGCGTCGCTCAATGAATGTATTGATACAAAAGTGAGTTGCACCTTATGCCCAGGGGCCAGAATCCTTCGCAATCTTAACCTGCCGCGCTCTCGTTTAGGCGCCCAGCTGGCCGGCCACCATTGGTGTTATGAGAAATCCCCAATCGTCTCTAACGACACCGAGTTCATCTAGTACTAAAGCTTAAAAAGAGTAGAACTCGACCTCAGCAATACCTGTTCTGGCCGGAATTGTTATAGCGATGGGGAATCCTCCATAGTCAGGATCCTCATTCGGCATCATCGCGTTGGCTCCACTCCTCGTCTCATCGCCACCTAAGGTCCTCAGTGTCCGTAACTTTCCTGTCGCTATGTCTTCCACGACCTTTTCTTCGTTCTTCAGAATGCCGTTAAACTTCGTGTCAGCCCTAGTCGATTGACCCATCACTTGAAAGCCCCAACCAATAAGCAAAAAGCGTGCTCCGCCACGATAAATGACCATGCCGCTACCGGTCCCGGGCTTGCCAAAAACGAAAGAACGCTCAATAGTGATATCCCAATCGCCAAAACGCTGCTTGATGGGTTTCGACGGATCTTTGTCGCCGGTGAACTCGTCAAAACAAAAACCCACCGACGAGCCTGGGTTACGTTGCGCTTCCAGTACGATTTGAGAGACTTGTGATAGTAGCCCATAGTGCTTTGTGTAAGGATTGGTTTCCGGCTCCAAAGTATCGATGCCAAAGGGACTGGCCAAGAGAGCCTGGAATGTTCCGTACGCTATCCAGATGCGCCGAACGCCGTATTCATCTCTTCGCTGCTCCGGGATGAACAGAGTATTCTTACGATGTCGGTACTTGCCGCATAAGCTAGTGTACTCATTAAGGTAGATATCGGGCGCAATGAATTCGAGGTCAGGTGCGAATTGCAGCCAAATATCGAGGACATTGACTGTGCCGCCACCTGACGGATAATCTCCTGGATGACCGCCACCACCAACTACAATAGGAGTATCGTTATCGGCATCATCTCCCGCATAGTTTTGCCATACGTTTGTGTACAGCGGAATAGGATACACCGCCTTTCCAGCTGCTGCTACACGGTTCACGTAATGTGCATAATGATATGCCATGAAGAGCTCGTCGGTCCTGCTACCGATGCCGAACACTTCCTCCCAAGTACCGGATTGTGGCTTCGATCGTGCGATAAAGGTCTTGAGGTTGGCTTTGAGATCGGGGTGTAATTGATCGTAGTCGCGGCTCAAGAATTGGAGAAGTTCTGCGGGCACGGGTTCGGAGAAGACTCTGTTGGCCTCGGCACTTCCGTCGCGACTGTCAAACAACAGGCCGACTTCGTTTTCGACTTGCACCATCAACACAGTACTATGTTTCTCGTCTACCTCTTTGAGGTGACTAAGCAACTTTCGGAATGCTTTTACGTCCGCTTCAACGTTCTCCTCGTTAAAAAGGGACAGCACATCCGCAACCTCAATCACCCCTCCCGCCTTTCTAAGTTCGGCACGAGGGAAGCGTTTTGGATTCGTCTTCACCCATGATGGGGTGTACGTTGATCTGCCTAGCCATGTACGTGTCAGGGTGTGGATAGAGGCCGCGAAGATGTACCAACATACCATTTTTGAAAGATCCGAACCACAACAAGATCAGGTGTAAGCCGTGTTCTCGGGCGCCCAATATGACTTTGTCCAGCTCTTCGAAGTCGAACTTTCCCTCTTCAGGCTCGACCATCTCCCAACTGACAGAGCCAAGTAAAGTATTGACATTGGTTGCGACCATCTTGGGCCAGATCTCGCTCATGTATTCGGCAGACGAAAGAGACGAGTTTTGCAATTCTCCGCCCAACATAAGGTATGGCTTGCCATCAACAATGAGTTGCTTGGTGTTTTCATGTTGTCGGAGGTGTGGAATGGTCGAATTGGAAGTCATGATAGATTAATAAAGCCCAAAGGGTCCGCGAGCATGTGCAATGTCTGGAAACGAAGATACGTCGTGCATCGCCAGCACCCAGAGATGCAGGTTCATCGTACAGCCCGTGAAGTCTTGCGGGGCCGCTCCAGCGGGGTAGTACCTACCGAACATAGGAGTAGGACATTTACCGGTGCTAGAAGTGCAGCCATAGCCCAACGTGTTCTTCGACCACAATAGCGCAAGACTCAGTCGATATTGCCAATGGCGAGACCTTGTTGTCGGGTTCCTCTCCAGATTTGCGGGCTGCCCAGGTGGTGTCGCAGTGATGACTAGTCTGCTACCAATGTCTCCCTGTGCTGCAGCAAAGTATTTGACGGTCATGACTGCCCAGATAGTTACGAGATCGGAGCGTGCTTGATAGGTGCCGACGCTAAGACGTATTAGGTTAATGCTGTGCTTCTCCCCTCATCTCACCTTGGGCGTCACCAAAGTGCAAGAGCAACCGGACTGTCAAACTTGTGAGCTGCATATCAATTGCCAGTGCTCTTGTCGTTTGGTTCACCTCTCAGGAACTCTGCCAGCTGTCGAAGAGATGCATGAAGACATCCACACCCACGTCAGGAGCCCCTCTATGATGCTACTATGAGCATCTCCTTGTTGTCTACTACTTGAAATCCATTCCCTCCAGAAACCCCTCGAAGCTACCAAACCTGTCCCACCTACCTACCTCATCGACAACCTTCTTACTCCAAGCCACACCCTCTGCTTCTATGTATGTCTCTAACTAAACAATTACGCCGTTCTATAACCAGCAAGAGGCACCTCTCAAGTAGCCTGTCCAGGCGTGCCTGGCCCTCTTCCTCCACTCTGCCCATCACCCGGTTCATCCTTACGCTTTGAAAGGTTGGGGTTACCCCCAGGTTTACCCTCCGGCTGGGACGCCACAGCCTTAGGATTGACATCCTCGGGCTTAGGAGCCGGCTCGACGTAGAATTGATCCGTATCCTCAAAGCTGCCAGGGTCGTAGACAGCGGCGCTTCTAGCATCGTCGCGAGAAGATGACTGGTCTGGAACGCTGCTTTGGAAGTTATCGCTGCCAAATGGTCTGTAACCGCCCGTTCCCGCAACCGCTCCTCCAGTAGCTGGATTCACATATGGGATGGGGTATCGTCCAGCATATAATCCTCGCGTCCCCGTGCCGTTGGGAGGAAATCCCTCATGAGCCCGAAATTGATAAGTTGTCGGGCGCCTGTTGAACCCGATCCTCTCCCTCTCTTCCACCGGCCCAGAGTTTCTACCAGCGGCAATCCATGCCCTTCTCTCCAAGTTCGCTCTGTGTCTCTCCACGTCTTCCGGCCTCGGTGAAAAATCAGGGCATATCGCATTAGAACGCGCACGATTCATGCTAGGGTCAAGGGAACTCTCAGTTCTCTCGAATGGACGGCCAACCCCCTGCGTGTAAGGCGTGTTTCCAGAAGTGTCCGAGTTTGTCTGACCATGCGCCCTGCGTCGGCGGTTGAAATCGCGGATTTCGGCAGCTCTACGCGCGAGGCGGGATGGCGTTGTTTCTGCGGTGTTGGCCGTGTCTTGTCCTTGGTCGTGGCCAGTCAAAGGTGGTTCTTCTGAGATTGTGTTCATTCGACCAGCGCGATCGGGGCCGCCTCCTCGACGGGCTGGAGTACTGGAGTGGTCTTCGCCCTCGTCGACAGGATCGTTGTCTTCTGTTCGGCTAGGTGGGAGGCCATCACCGCCGTCTTGCCGATTGGTGTGCGTTCGATCCATCTGATGAGTACAAGGCTGAGCTATTCGCAGTGCTTCTAAAGGTCTTTCAGACGGGATTTCCAGATGTACTTATACTCATAGTTCTGGTAGCAATAGGTACCAATCGGTTTGTTGTTGGCGCGCTCAGAGCGGCTAGTCGTAGCGATGTAGTCTTGTTTGTGGGCATAGAGGGAAACACCAAAAACTGATCTTTGTATGCGCAAAGTATGGTCTCAAGCGAAACCCAGCTATTGTTTGTCGTAAGAGATGCGTCAGTTTCGAAGAGGCTGCAGTACCGCATGATGATCGAGCTCATGAAAAGGACAATGTTAGCATGGTAAGTATTGTGATAACACTGGAGTCATGTCGCAAATTAGTTTGTATGCCCCTTGCAAGTACAGGAGCTTGATCGTTGTATTAGTATTATCGAGTTGGTGTATGCAACTTCGCCCACCCGCAACTATTCTCACCCCCAAGATTACCAACTGTAGAGCTGGATCCGTGGAAACTAATTTAAAGCACCGCGTCGTCGCCAAAGTGCTTTGCATACATGCCCAGCGCCTTGATCGGGAAGATGAACTTGTAGTTCGGATAGGAGATCATACTGTTCTTATGTTAGCCACCATTCATCATCAATCAATAATGCGTGAACTTACCAAGACTTGTTGAACACTCCCTCAATAGCCTCCTGCAACCACTCTCCGTTGGCTTGCTGCCTCTGCATGATGAGCTTGACAGCCCTCTCGAGCGGCTCTTTGTGTGGGAACCCGCCCTCAATCATTGCGATGACCACCCAAGCAGTCTGCACAACCTGACTGCGCGGATGCTGCTGCCAGACACCGGTTTCACAGCTCTTGTACGTCTCGCCCCAGCCTCCATCTTCCATTTGCTTGTCTAGGAAGAACTGACACGCCCTTCTCACACGTTCAGAGTTGCTGTACTGCTCTCCAGAGCACTTGAGTGACTCAAGAGCAAACATGCCGGCATAGGTAAAACAGATACCCCAGCTGCCGTACCAAGATCCATCTGGGCGTTGGGCGGCGCGAATGTATGCCACCGCGCGGTCGCGGAAGGCAGAGATTTCCGCGGCACGGTAATCGGGGTAATGATGTTGGAACATGTCGAGGGCGGTCACGACAGCGGTTGTGCATTCAGGGTAGTCATACTCGATCATAATGTTACCGAAGACTTCTGCTGCGTTAAGATGTTCAAGGAGTACGCTACCCCGTGTCGGCTCATAAGAAGCACAGCCACCAGAAGCGTTCTGCATAGTCAGCAGGACGTCGATGGCATCTTTCACGCGGCGTTCGTTGATAAGTTCAGGGAATGCGTTATCCCTCTGGAGGATAAGTGTGCTCTTGAGACCTTCGGATGTGCAGTCGCTGACTGTGTAGCCCTGCTTTCGTGTACTGAAGCCCCAGGCACCTTTGCGTTGTTGACGGTAGCATGCGTGCTGGTCCCTGGTTTCCTCAAGAATCTGCTGGTCTTCTAGGAACTCAAGACTCTTCGTGAGCATATGCTTCCATTTCGTATCCTTTGACCAGCCGCAAGAGTCAACAGCTTGGATGAGGAACGCGGTGTCCCACGTTTGTACACCGTTTGTACCGTTCATAAGCATGCCTTCATCCTTTACCCAGAGGAACTCCGGAAGTGTCTTGAGATGCTCGCGAACAGCATGAGACTTGGGTCCTTCTTTAATATAAGCAGCCAACATGTTCATAGGACCGTTGACAGGACCCAGATTGGCGAAGTCGGTGTTCTCATCCTCGGCTTCGATCAGCCACCATACATGCTCTTCAGCCCGCTTCACCATCCAAGTGGGCCTGATGTATGGGAACCATATAGCGGCCATGAACCAAAAGAGGACCTTGAGCATCCAAGATTTCGCATGGTAGTTGTCCGTCGGGGCAATGGTATTCCGCCGTGCGCCAAAGTTGATGTTCTCAAATGGCTCCATCAACAGTTCGGCCCGCAGTTGACGTGTAAGGTCATTAAGCGGGTATGACCACTTCTTGGAGTAGATGTAGGACATGGGCAGGAAGACCTGTCGCATATGTATCCACCACCTCCACGGCGCGATAGGGACCCAGTCTGGCAGCAGCCACAGCTCAGGTGGACAGGGATTAACAACGTCCCATTCCGTCACACCCAACACGCTCAACCAAAACTTTGCCCAATGCGGACCGTTGAGCGCGCCACCTAGCTTCCAAAGTGTGTCCCGCGCCTTCCGCATTCTGGGGTCTTCTGCGTCGACGCCAAGCAGCCTGAGGACGGTATAGTTCATTGCCGTACCAAACACGGTACTCTCTCCCTCGATATGTAGTCCCCAGCCACCGTCTTCTGGATTCGCGCGGGCAAAGAGGTAGTTCTTGATCTCGATCGCATGCGACGCTGGTATTGGTGTCTCGGTGACATACCAAGTGACTACGAGGCCGGGGAGGAGGAACATGGGACCGCCGTATTCGCAAGCCCAGTTGCCAGGTGGGAGTTGGAGTTGGGAGAAGAACGTGAGGCCATTGTGCGCAGCTTCAAGGGGTGTCTGTGCCGGTGCAAGGGCTGGTTGTTCCTAAGGTCAACGTCAGTTATTGGTGTCTACACGGTTAGAAGAGGTGCACACGCACCGTGTCGAGGCCTAGGAAGTACTTGTCCGCTGTACTCTGCGGCCACGACTTCATTTCCTCGTCGCTTTGCAGATAGTGCCATGTCTGACATCCTCGGTCGTCCTTGAGCCTCCATCTTGTGTAATCTGTCTTTTCATCTCCCTCGTGGCTCTTGATCACGCCCACCGCGTCGTTCAGTATCTTCTGGCTCCCGCTGCGCTTTGCTGCGCCGTTAGTCGTGCCATTAACATGCGACATGATGGATTCCTGGTCTGCGAAGTCTTCAGTGTTGTCCTACACCCCTCCACTCGTACCGGGAAGGCGTGATGGGGGTGACTTGGCCTCTTGCTGGGGTCGAGCACTCCGGGTCGGACGTCTTGGCAAGCATGCATGAGTAGAGGCAAGCGCGTTCTTGCCAATCAACCTTGGGACGTGAAAGGGAGTGTGGATGTGCAGCGCAGATCAACTTTACTCCCATGAACTAGTAGACATTTACATTCAGACTGTGTGAATGCGATGTGTAGTTCGCATTCGCAAACTTTCTGCTTCAACAATTCCATAGACCCTGAACGCGGGTCCTCACATCCCTGCCACGTCCATCGACCAAACCTTGAAGCCACTGCAAAGACGCACGTCGACGACTGTCCCAGCATCCCC